CATCTGTTGGTAGGCTCCATCAACCATCTCTGGGCTCTGTTGCCATGTCAACTGTTGCTAGGTTCCATCAACCATCACTGGGCCCCGTCACCGTGTCAGCTGTTGCTAGGCTCCATCAACCATCTCTGGGCTCTGTTGCCATGTCAACTGTTGCTAGGTTCCATCAACCATCACTGGGCCCCGTCACCGTGTCAGCTGTTGCTAGGCTCCATCAACCATCACTGGGCTCTGTCGTGGGACCAACCATCACTAGGTTCCATCACCATGCCGACCGTTGCTCAGCTCCATCGACCGTCGCTAGGGCTTGCCAAGCGGGTGGGGAGGGAGGGTCATGTCTCCTAGGGGAGTTCCTCTAGGGGGCCAGGAATGGGTTGGTGGAGGATGGGAAACAAGGCTCAGAAAGTGCTTCTGTGGGGCCAGGAAGTGTGGGGGGGGAGTATCCCCTGTCCCCCCCCCAGCTCCCTAGATATCTGCCTCCAGCAGGTACTGCTCGGTGTAGCCCTTGGCCAGCTCCAGCCGCAGGCCGGCCCGGCAGAACTCGGCCAGCTCCCCCCAGAGGCTGGGCTCCAGGAAGAGCTGGCACATGACGTTGCCCCGCAGGGCGGGCAGGCGGGCCCGCAGGTGGTGCAGCAGCTGGCTCTTGAGGTGGGCGGGGTGGCGGCCGAAGGCGTCGATGTTGAGGTAGACCCAGTCCTCGCCCAGCGGGATGGGGAAGGGCTGGGTGCAGAGGGAGGCGGCCGTGGGCCGGGCCTTGCAATCCACCACCCAGTGCAGCTGCTTCTGCTGCAGCAGGGCCAGGTTGGACTCGCTGGGCTTGTAGGGCTGCCAGTCCTGGATGAGGGTGCGGCCGGGCAGGACCTCGCTCTGGAAGGCGGGACTCAGCACCAGGCCCCGCACCTCGCCTGGCTCCAGCGCCTCCGTGGGCAGCGGCTGGAAGCCGCCCGCCCACAGCTGGGCCACAGCCGCGTCCAGCCGGGCCAGCAGCTCCGCCGCGTTGAACCGCACCAGCAGGATGCCCTGGAGGGGGAGAGACGCAGGTAAGCCGGCTGGGGTATACAGGGACCTCCCTGCTGGGGGCACGGGGCGGGGAATGGGGCAGGGGCCTGTCCCCTCTAGGGGGCGCTGGCTCCCACCCGGCCCCAGGGCAGGAACTGGCTGGCTCAGGGGGGCGGGGAATGGGGGCAGGGGCCTGTCCCCTCTAGGGGGCGCTGGCTCCCACCCGGCCCCAGGGCAGGAACTGGCTGGCTCAGGGGGGCGGGGAATGGGGGCAGGGGCCTGTCCCCTCTAGGGGGCGCT